CCTTTCCTCTCTGACCCTGCAGACCCCTTCTCACCCATAGGGCTTTGCACAGCTCCTTGCCTCTGCCTGGAATTCTTCCCACTCCCTCCCTCTCCCACCCACAGTCCCCTCTTCCTGGGTAATACCTGCTCATCTCCCATTGTTGCTCAGCAAGGCCTTCCCGACTGGGGTGAGACCTCCTGCCCTGGGCTCCCGTAATCGTCTGTGCCTCCTCATCATGGTGGCTGCCCCAGTGCTAGGATCGCTATCCTAATGCCATCTCCGCTCAATGAGGGCTGGTTGTACAGCAGATGCACAGCTCATAGCACAATGTCCCTCAGATAAGGCAGCCAACGCGTGTTTGGTTTGTACTGTTCTGCTGGTTTCCTTTGACTTTATTGTAACAGTTACGTGGTAGCTATTGCCCTGCAACCTGCCTTGGCCACTTAGCAGTATTAGGATGTGAGGAGCCCTGGACATAACTCTCCTCCCTCCTAGACAAGTTGTCAGCTCTGTTACTGAGGAAAGCCAGGCTGGAGGAGGTGGGTTCAGTATTCGAACCTCCAGCCCCAGTCACTCTTGGGCCTGCAAAGGAACACCCTTCCCCAGGATGGCTGCCTCCTTCTGGGAGGAGAGGGAAAGAAGGGTTGGAGGGGCTGGGTCTCTAATTGGATGGGAAGGAGCCAGGCACCCAGCCCAGTCAACTGTGGCAGGTGGGGAGGGCCGCCAGGAGCAGGGCCAGCCTCCCAGTCCCTGGCTGGACTTAGGGGAGGTGCGTTTCTCAGAGGAAGAGGGAGGTACTAGATAGATGGAACAATAGCTTCCACTTCCCGGGATATCAGACCTCCTCATGTCTATTCTTTCTGCTCTGGACGCTGCCCTTTAAGAAAAATATTCTAAAATGGCATCATGGTTTGCAACCTTTGTGGGGAAGCCCTATTTATAATGTAAAAAAATGTCCTTGCCTCCCTCCCTCCCACCTCCCCATGCTTATGCCACTACTTTAATAAAAACTTGGGGCTTCTGGCAGAGATTCCTAATTGATAACCAAATATCCATTCCCCTCCTCTTCCTCAGTTAACAGAGCCCCAAGTTTTAGCCGAGCTTGTTACAGCCAGGATAAGAGACAATATTTCCCAGCCTCCCTTGTAACTAGGGTGTGACCACACAGTCAAGTTCTGGCTGATGGAGCATTGTGTGGCACTTCTGGAAAACCACCTTAAAAGAGAAGGGTATATGCCTTCCTTTCCCCTTTTCCTGTTGCCTGGAACACAGATGTGATGGCTAGAATTTCAGCAGCCATCTTGGACCATAAAAATGGAAGCCGTATTCTGAAGATGGCAGAGAAAAAAGGTAGGAGTTTCAGCTTCTGATATAATCACAGAGCTTCCACATCAGCTGCAAACTGTCTCCTGACCAGACTTCGTTTATGTGAGAGAGTTAGAAACGTTGATCTTGTTTTAAGCTACCGCTGTTTGGGGTTTTTCATTGTATGCTGTGGAATCTAATCCTAAGAAACACAGAACCAAGAGATACAGAGATTTCCACTCTTGAAATAAGGCTCCCAGAAGTCTGTGGCCTGGAGTTTGGAATAAGTGAACTAAAAAGAAGATTGCAAGGGAAATCATGGTGATGGGGGAGGGGTGTAGGTGTTGTCGATGAAAATAATCCATAACCAATCTATAAATGAAAATTTGGGTGAGTTTATTCTGAGCTTAAATCTTAGGATTATAACCCGGGAGAGTCTTTCCACAAAGGAACAGAGCACTCCAAAGAAGTGGGGGTACACAGGATGGTTATATACCCTCAAAGAGGGTGTTTCACATATGATTGAAATGTCCCTCCCACAATAGTCACAAGATTGCCCTGTCGGCACAGCACTTGATGGACATAGCAGGTAGTGGGTCTGCTATCTCAGTGGGCGTAGCAGGAGGCAAGTCTATTGTCTCCAGCTGGGCGGTCACAGGTGAGCGCAGCAATCAGTTTCTAGCCTGAGGAAAGATGCTTAATCCTTAAGGAGACTCTAACATTGTTGGGAGGGGGAGGGAAATTGCACCTTTATCTCAAGGGCCTTTGCTCTTGCCATAGGGAATCTCTAAAGCAGATATACAATGCGTGCTCAACGGCCTCCGTCAGGCCCTTTTGGAAAGACAAGGTCAGGCCGAATTAGGTTTATACCAAATGGCTTCCTCATATACTCCAATATATCCTATTGCTTGCCATTTTTATTTGTCAGTGTCTAGAAACTACATCCGCTGGGAGCGTTTAAGCTAAAGATTCACGGAACACATTTATGAGGGATAATTCCAGAGAAAAGTAACGAAAATTCTGGGATGATCTAGAGCATAGAAATTACTGTAGGGCAGAATACATCACTAACTTTGTAATAGTTTGAATGGCTTAGAAATGGAACAGATGTGTAAGCATGGAATGGATGGTGTATTAGTCAGGGTTCTCCAGAAACAGATCCAATAGGACACATATGTAGAGAGGGGGAGAGAGAGAGACATAAAGAGATTTACTATAAAGGATTGGCTCACACTATTACGGAAGCTGAGGGGTCCCACAATCTGCTGACTGCAAGCTGGAAGCCCGGGAGAGCCAGTGGTGTAGTCCTAGTCCAATCCTGAAGACTTGAGAGCCAGCCCGTGGTGTGAGTTCGGGTTCAAGTCCAAAGGCTTGAGAACTAGGGGTGCTGATGTCCAAGGGCGGTACCGGATGGATGCCCCAGCTCAAGCAGAGAGCAAATTCGCCCTTCCTCCGCCTTTCTCTTCTATCCAGGCCCTCAGCAGATTGATCGACGCCCACCTGCGTTGGTGAGGGCCATCTTCTTTACTCAGTCTACTGATTCAAATGTTCATTTCTTCCAGAAACACCCTCACAGACACACCTAGAAAGAACATTTTACCAGCTATCTGAGCACCCCTTAGCCCAGTCAAGTTGACACATAAAATTAACCATCACAGGTGGCTGTCAATTTTTGAACTGGCTAATATTTGATTAAAAGATGTGATTCTAGGAAAAATTAGAGAAGGCTTCCCCCAAAAGTTGGGACTTTGGGCTAGATCCACAGTATCTCACAGAAGCCTGGGAAAGCGCAAGGCACACAGGTGCTCAGTGCATCTTTTGTGAATGAATGAATGAGTACACTGCCTACAGACCAATTTCTGATTTGATCCAAGTGAAAAAAGAGCAGAGAATTTTGATTGAAAAAAAATCCAAAGAGTTGCTTCTATGCTTGGGACAAAATGCCACTGACATTGCTGTGCATGGAGAACCCCTTGGGGGCTTGTCTTAGAGGCGTCCTCGTCCCTGGTATGTTGGGGGAGGGCATGGCCTTGGACCTGCTCTCAGGCTGTCTGCAGGGAGGGGATTCCCCACGCCTGGGGGAGTCGCTGCTGACGACACCAGAGACCTGTCCTCGTCCAGTGATCCTGCAGGTGCTGCCCCGGCCTCGATATGGGCCAAGGAGGGCAGCCTCGCTTCCCAACACCCCTCCACTCCCAAATTCTGCCAGGGCAGTAAGGAGGGGCTGTGGGCATCTGAAAAGAATTGTAATGTGGGGAAAACATTGAAGCCACAGGTTAAGCATGGCCCTTCCCATCAGGAGGAAGTAACAGCAGCCACAGAGCAGTTAACTGTCCGCTGGAGCCGCACCTGTGGCCTCGTCTCCTATTCACTGGGGTCTGAGTGTCCTTCCTCTCCTCTAGGAGTGTTTTTTCTTCTTAAAAATCTCCATGGGGTGACTCTCCAGCTCCCTTTATGGGAACCCCACCTCTTACCCATGGGGACTGGACTCTTCGGGATGAAAGACCACCCCCCCGCACCAGACAGTGGAGGAACATCATAATTCCTTTCCCAAAGCCTGAGCGATGCAATTCAAATGACACTGAATGGAACTGGGTGGGGAGGTTGGGGACAGGAAAGTCTAGGGGGCCCTGGTGCTCCAACTAGGCTCCACTTTAGGCCTCCCTGCCTCCCCATTCATGCAGGCGCATAGACACACACACACACACACACACACACACCACTCCCAGGGACCATCAGTGATCTCCAGGGACATCAGAGGCCAGACTCACAACAAGGTAGGAAAACCTTCCCCTAATATGTTACCTGCCAGCTGGGGAGAGAGCAGAGTGGTATTCACTTCTCTCCATTCATCCTTACCCTTCCAAACCATCCTCAGGGGACGGCCACAGCACAGGAAACAGGCCCATTCCCTCTGCTGCCTTCAAACAGCAGAGGTACTGTCCTGGTGGGCTCTCCGTTTCCACAGAAGGTAGCAGAAGCTTTGGACCCCAGCTTTTCCCCGGCCGGGTGACCCCGCTCACCGCTGAAAGCAGAAGGGAGGCCTGATGAGGATTTATGGCCTCTCTGCACATTGCAACCCCCGGAGTGGGCGAGACTGTTGGTTCTTCCTGTTACGGACGCATGAAGTGTATCGGGGTCATGATTTATGGGACCACAGCAAGATTTCATCTGGAATAAAGTTTCCTCATATCCAGAGAAGGACAAGTAGCTGACCCGTGCCTTCCTGCGGCTCGTCCCTAATTCCAGCACAATCATTGAGAGAAAATGATCAATTTCTTCACAAAGACCCTCTCTTGCGGCCCACAGAGCTGTAGCAGGCCCAGAGCAGCGCACGAAGCGCCTGGTTTTTCCCTTTCCATTATTCAAGCACTCACTGTATCACGGAAGGTTGAAGAAGGCAAAATCATAATGCACATGCTTTTATCTCAAGGGTTGGTATTTTTAGCAGGGAAGACAGGCTAAACGAAATTAAAATAAAAAAAATAAAATGGAAGGAAAAATATATTGAAGCTTAGGTCATTGGCTGAGATCACACAAGCATTCTTCAGTGCTGAGTCTCCGTAGAAGGGTTCTTGTGGTTTGTGTATGGGGGCAGGGGGTGGGCAGGGCTCACTTCTGGGCAGAGAGCAAGGCAGGGGTGGGAGGGAGCCAGGGGGATGGGAAAGAGGGCAGGGATGCTCAGGTTCTGAGCACCCATGTGGCCGGCCCTGTCCTGGGGACATTCCTGTGCAGAGTCTCATTAACTCTCAGGATGAGCCTGAGACATGTCCCGTCACTCCCATCTGACGGGTGCTGAGACTGAAGCCCAGAAGCTCAGCCCCTGACTTGCCCACGTCGCTCAGCCGGGAGCAGCAAAACGGGGAGTCAAGCTCCAGTCCGTGTGATGCCGAAGTCCTTGCTCCTGCCTTGCTCCTGCCACCACCACTGGGAGTGTTTGCCTCAGGAATGTGGACCATTGAAGTAGCCCACGCTCCCACACCAAAAACCTGTTTTTCTGGATTAGGAGGAAGCCCTAGTTCAGACAGGCCCTAAAGAATAATTAAGGAGCGCTGACAGGCCCCTCCTGGGGCAAGATCAGCACCGTCTGGGACTGGCTGAGGGGCTGCAAGCTGGAGCCCCTACACTCAGACCACAGGGTGACACAGAGACAGCCTGCAGGGACCCAGGCAGGCAGCCTCCTCATGGTCCGCATGGTCCTAGTGTCAGGCCACTGGGAAGGTGGGCCAGTCCAGCTGACGGCGGCACCGGCCTGCAGATCAGAGCACTGCCACCACCCCTTCCAGCTCTGCCGAGGTGGCCATCGTGCCAGGCGGACGAGAAACTCAGCCTGACAGTGGTCAATCTTGCCCAGTTGGAGAGGGCACATCTGTGATCCAAGGGCCTGTTCCATGAGTCATCTCCCTGCTAGGAGAAAAGGTGAAACTTCTTGGAGATGCAGTGTGGCACAGAAGGAGGTCTTTGTGCTTCAGAGGTGGAGACAGACCTGGGTTCAAATCTCCGTGCTGCTACTCACTGGCTGTGTGACCTGGGGTAAGTTACTTAACCTCTCTGGGCCTCCATTTCCCCCTATCATGAGGATAACTATAAAGACCTCATGGGATTACTGTTAAAGAAATGAGACAAGTACCGAAAGCACTTAGCCCAACACTCTCCTTGAGGCCAGGCCCTGTTTTATCCTCAGCTGCAGGTGTGGGGACTGCCCAGGATGAGTCCTCTGTCCTCCTTCTAGAGCAACAATCACAAGAGCCCGAGCTACACCCCAGCCAGGGCCGAGCCCTCGTGCAGGCATCATCTCACTGTGTTCCCATGGCAAGCAAGTACTGTCACCAGGCTCGCTGCACAGCCAAGGGGCCGAGACTAACCCGCTCAAGGCCACGCAGCTCGTACACGACAGCAGGGACTCCAGCCAGGGCCCATCTGGCTCCAGAGCGGCATTCTTCATTACGATGCTTCATATTCCAGTAGATGTCACTGAGCATGGCCGGAGTCAAATGAGGTTCGCATCGTCTCCCTGGAGCCCATTTTGTATGAACCCAGAGGGAGACGCATGTGTGTGTGTGCAGGTGTACAAGCGTGTGTGTGTGTGTGTGTATCTTCCACGTCAAGAGCAAGGGCTGAGGCGCTGGGGAGGCCTTTGAATGTGCAGCAGGCACACTGTTCTGCCAGATTTTGCCCCTACCTCTGTCTGTCTGTCCTCAGGCAAATCACTGGATTCTCCAGGGCTCTGTTTCCCTGGCCTTGAAGGGGACAGCAGAGTGGCTTTAAGGCTCTGGCCTGCGCTCAGATGATCGCTCTGAGGCCATGAGACTGTCTCCTTCCAGCCAGGGTGACAGTGGGCACCGGAAGGTCCATGGAATGGGCACCATGAGAATGCTCTTTTGCTCTTCCAACACGACCAAATTCTTCCACACAGGGGAAGCCACACCTGAGATTTCTCTGTGTCCCCACTGCTATTCTGGGAACACAATCAAGTGTTTCAAGAGTCCCTTCTAGATCTGAAAGCAAGATCGAATGTGCATGTGTGCATGTATGAGAGCGTGGGTGCACTTCCATATTCTCCTTTGAGAAAGAGCAAGCTTTCTATTTACAGCAGCGTGCTTTCCGAAGTACCTTAGAGCTGATTGCCTCCTCTGCCCTCATGCCTCCCCGACCAGGGGAGCGAGAGCAGGCATTGTTATCCTCACCCTGCAGGTGAGAAGTGGGCTCAGAGAGGTCAGGTGACTTACCAGAAGTCCCAGGCTGTCATTCCAGACCAGCTTCCTGTCGCCTGCCCAGTGAGTGGGGCCAAGCCTCCCTTTCCTGGCAGAGGTGGGCTCGGTGGGAGGCAGCCCACTTCTCACCCCAGCTGCAGGGCCCGAGGGGCCGCCTGGCAGGGAAGTGGCAGGCAGTGCGCGGGCCCTGCAGCTGGGCGGCCTCCACCTCCCCTTCTGTGCCCTGTCAGCCGTCCTCGCCACCCCGAGATGCAGGCCTCCTGAGCAGACTCCTTCCACAGGGGGCGGACCAGGATGCAGGCGAGGCTTCAGACAGGGAGGGAGGAGGCCCCCACGCAGTGTGTAAGGAGGTGACCCTGAGGAGAGGGGAGGGTGGAAGGGTGTGTATGTGTGGGGGGTGCACACTGTCCAGGGTTGCAATTCAGGCTCCTCCTCGGTGCCAGGGCAGCCCGAGGGAAGGGGCAGGAGGCCCTGGAGTTTCACCGTGCGGGGGTGGGGGGGGGGTGGGTGGTGGTGATGTGTGTGTGTGTGTGTTTGTGTGTGTGTGTGCACGCACGCACATGCACATGTGTGTATGAGACAGAGACGGAGAGGGAGACGGATGGGCGCTATACGAGAGTTGGAGGAGCCACAGGGACATGAGCAGAGGCGACTCTACAGACTGGCACCTCCAGGATGCACTGCCCTCCTCTGTTTCGTGGCCCTTGGCCTCCAGGCCCCCATGGTGCCCTAGGAAACACCAGAGGGACCATGGGAGCCTCACAGCGCAGGGCAGGTCCACGGGTCTCCTGGTCCTCATCCTCTTCCCAGCCCCCGTCTGGCCACAGCAGTGAATTAAGCCTCTGGGCCTGGGCGTCCTCACCTGGAACACAGGCGAGAGTCCCGCACTATGCCAGGCCGTGTGGCTTCAAAGAGATGGTGTGTTTGGCAAACTGTCGACAATAATGTGAGGTGTTTAGCCCCGCTGAGAGGATGCTGGGCTTGGGGAATCATGGGAAGAGTGAACCTGTGCGTTCAAATTGATCATTATTTCCTTCCTGACGGTGTGTCCAGAGGCCTGCCTGTTAATGGGACTTTGGGGGGCAGAGAAGCTGTGTGGCTGGCTGGGGAAGGCTAGCCGGTCATCTCCCTCCATGGGGCTGATGGTCACTGGCAGTGCAGGCAGTGTTGCCGTCCAGGGGGACCCTGCCAGTGCACAAGCAGCTGGCAGGCGCTGGGGAGGGCACAGGCAGACAGTCAGAGCTTGTGGAAGCCAGACTGGACAGCTCCTTAGTGGCCATCCTAGCCCACTGGCCAGCCCATGCTGGAACCCCTTTAAATACCCTCACCTATGGGCCAGCCCCGTGGTGGAGTGGTTAAGTTCTCATGCTCCGCTCCGGCGGTGCAGGGTTCATTGGTTCGGATACTAGGCGTGGACATACACACCACTCATCAAACCATGCCAAGGCAGCATCCCACATAGAAGAACCAGAAGGACTTACTACTAGGATATACAGCTATGTACTATGGCTTTGGGGAGAAAAAAAAAGAGGAAGACTGGCAACAGATGTTAGCTCAGGGCCAATCTTCCTCACCAAAAAGCATACCTTTACACAGCCTCTCCTCGAGCCGCCCAGCTCTGCGGGGATGGAGGCCGCCGGACCTGGGCCCCTCTGTACTCAGACCTGTGCTCCTCTCTGGATCTGCAGAAACCTGATGCCATGAAGCAAACACTGGCCTCACGGTCAGGGAGACCCAATCTGAATTCAGTTCCATCACTAGGCAAGTTACTCCTCTCCCGAAACCTCAGTTTTGTCACCTATAAAATGGGAATAATAGTGCCTATCCCATAGGGTTGTAGGCATGATTAAATGTGAAAAAATATACAACATATACGATATATAACAAGGTACCCTGCTCCAGTAAATGTTAGCCATCATTATTTGTTATTGTTTATATAACCGTCTTTCCCAGAGGAAACTCTAAGTTCTTTGAGGACAGGAACCATGTTTGGTTCATCTTTGTATTCTTCAAGATGCCCAAAACAATACTTGTTAGAGAAGCTCTACACATTGTGCATTAAGCACCTGCTGTGTGCTGACATCATGCTCGACTGTCATCGGGATCTTGTTGTGATGAATTGTGAGGTGCAGGAAAAACTGGTCCCCTGAATCATTGCAGGGTACACAAGTTTCTTCAGGGCCAACATGCCCTCTCTCTCTCCTCTCCCTGCCTTCCCAGCTACCCAAGTCCTTAGGGCTCTCACCTCCTCCTCTTGCTCCAAACCAGATGGATAGAGCTCCAGAGAGCATCTGATAAATTACACACACTCAGGTATAGATAACTGATGATCACTTGACATGTTGTTTCTCCAAGGGATTATTTGAATTCTACGAAAGGTTCAAACTTAAAGCGAGCGTTCTTAACCTGGGTCCACGGAAGGTCTGAGTGTGGGCATGGGCAATGTACTCACACTTTTTCTGACTGGGGAGAAAATCTGCATCTTTTATCAGATTTGTCATTGGTCTGTGAGCCAAAGAAAGATTTCAGAAATGGTTCCCTGGAGCAGTGTTGTCCAGGAGAACTTCCCGTGTGGAAGGATCTGCTGTCCAATATGGTAATCGCTAACCACTTGCGGCTACTGAGCGCTCGAAATGTAAATAGTGCAAGCGAGGAACTGAATTTTTAATTTGATTTATATTAGTTAATTCAGATTTATATTTAAATAGTTACATGTGGCTGGTGGCTCCCATTGTGGACCACGCAGCCTAAGATGATAAAAATTCAATGGTACAATTTTAGACATATTGGAGAGGTGGCATTTCAGAGTATACAAAGGGATTCTTATGGGCAGGAATTAGTCAATGTTCTGAAATTTTAAAAAATCATTCATTCATTCATTCATTTATCCATCCATCTATTCATTCATTCATGCATGCAGGCATACACAAACCGGCACTGACATCTGAGCAGCCACTACGCACGTTCACTGAAAGAGGACCAATGGTGACTAAGAGAGGTGCTTCCAACTCTGTCCGGACCAGAGGGTCTGCTGGAATGTACAGGTGGGTCTCTTTGGGGGTGGCTCTGTGTCTAGAGGAGCAGTACCACCCTATTCAGTAGTCCAGGCCTCAGGACATTTGCAATCTTGTGAGCAAGAGAATGTTTCTTCCTCTCAGAAGGTTATTTGGTCCCAAAGGATGAACAGAGAGTTGGGGAGGCTTGCAAAGTGGAAGAGACGGGGGATGTCTCCTTGATGATCAAGTTGAGTTTATAAATGAAATTTCATAGTTAAATTTTTATGGATGTCAGTGAGGCAATCTTTGGGAAACAAAGGAGCTCAGCATCTGGGTTTCATTGATTTTCAGACTTCTTTTCTTACATTATCACTGGCTCATCTACTCCTGGGGCTGTGGTGAGGATTAATTAGCTTTTGTGGATAAAGCTCTGATAGCATGCCTGTTTCACAGTGAACGCCCTGTAAGTGTCAGTTATTATCATTGTTGAGAGAGCGCCCAGTCAACGCAGAGGTGGGAGGTGATCAGTACGTGTTTGGTGAATGAATGACTGAGGTTGCCAAATATACAGACTCAACAAGCATCAAGCAGAACCAAACAAAAGCTGGATGTCAAGGTCTGCAATGGCTTTTTGCCTACAAAGTGGCCCAGTGCCATGGCCAAGGCAACCACAGTGTCTGTAGGGACAACAAAAGAAGGTTTTAATGATGGACTTTGTGAATGTGCCATGAGGGTTGGCCATCATGGCTTTGTGACCTCCATCTTGGGGCCATGGCTTCTTAAGTGAGGATGGACTAGACATTGCCTAAGACCTGCTCCAGCTGCAGTGATCTAAGAACATGCCACCTGTCTCTAGCTGGGCCTTTTCAACACTTGAGGAATAATGACAACATCCATATCTCCTCTGGCCAAGGGAGCGCCAACAATCCACTGTACAAACCTACTCAGAGACCAGAATTTGGTTCCAAATGACCCATTTTGCAACAGCTCAAGAATTTCCAGTTGTGTCTGCTAATGAGTATAAAGTACAAAAATGAGACGGCACTGTAGGACATCTGCAAGTGAGTTATGGACGGCCTCTTGGCTCTGCCAAGGGAGGGGATGGGCCAGCATCCACAGAAATAGACAAAACAACTCCAACAAGGTCCAAATTGCACACTATAGGATTTTTAAAACTTCGTTTGGGTGAACAACCTCTTTTGTGTCTGGCTGCCCTAAAACTGGACACAGTCATACTCCTTTCTGCTGGCTCCCTACAGCCCTCAATGTGGTCTTTGTCTTGTCAACACACAGCCCTTTGGCCTCCAATTCTATTGTTCTGATTAAAGTGCCAGAATTGGTCTCCAGACCACTATTGATTTTGTATTCTCATGGAAGAGGAGGGAATAATGGAAGCTGAGCAAGCTGGCTAGCCCAGGTGTGAGGAACGGACAATGTTTCAAGGTGGGAAGGTGGAGGAGGAGGACAGTCCATGTGGGGTTGCTAGAAGACTCTGTCCTGTATAGTTCTGGGTAATGAGGTCTTTACGCTTGAGTGGGGAGCCAGACCGCAAAGAGGAATGTGTGTTGGCATCTCTTGGAATGACCTCAGTCTCTGAAGGAATCTTTCCAAGCTGGACGTTTCTGAAGAGTGATAACCCCAAATCTGTCTGCTCACCCAGTGGTGAGGTCCTCTCCCCTCTCTCTTCTCCTGTGGCTGGCACAGCAAAGAGTAGGGAGGTGAGGGGACTCAGGACTTGGACTGGCCAGGCCCGGCTGGCTCAGTCTCTTCCTAGTTATGGAGCACTAGGCAAGTTTGCTTCTCTCTCTGAGGCTTGGTTTCCTTAACCTTAATATGGGATTACTACATCTATCTTGTAGAGTCATTGGAGGGTGAAATGACTGTATAGAAAAGAAGCTATATTAAGGAGAGGAGAGTTTCCATTATCATTGTTAAATGTTGTTATTCAGCATTAAGACACTGAGATCTCCAGTGGACTCTGCTTATCTTGGTTTTCTCAGAAAACCTTCCTTTCACCTTCCAACTGGACCCTGAGACAACTAGTGCATTTTACTCCAAGAACAGCTGGTTTTATGTCATTATTTCTGCCATCTTTGACAATGCACCTTCTTTGCCATCTGATACATGCTCCCAAACCCTATATTCAACATTTAACATTCAACATTTACTGAGCGCCTACTCCCACATTATCTATCTGCAGGCACAGCAGTGAACAAAACAAAGATTCATACCCTGGTGGGACTTACATTCTAATGAAGAGAGACACATGATAACCATAATGTATAAGTGAATTATACAACTTGTTAGACAGTGGTAAGCGCTAAGAGAAGATGAGAAGTAGAGCTGGGAAAAGTGGACTGAGAGTGTAGTGGGAGGTGTGGGCTGCAGAGGGTGGCCTCATGGACAAGGTGAAATTTCAGCAAAGACACGATGCAGATGAGGGAGTTGGCCAAGCCGATATACGGAAGAGGAGCTTTCTAGGCAGAGGGAACAGTTGACAGAGATCCAAAGTCATCCTGGAGTGTTCAAGGACAGGAAGGAGGCCAGTGTGACCAGAGGCAGGGTGGAGGGATGAGAAAAAGTTGTGAGGATGGAGTTGGGAAAGTGCAGAGCACACAAGGCTTTGTCAGCCATTGTGAGGATTTGAGGTATGACTCTGCGTGGAGTGGGGGGCCCTTGCAGGGTTTTGAGCAAAGACATACATGACCTGGCTGACTTTGTAAAGGGATCTTCCGGTTTTATGCTAAGAAGAGATGAAGGGAGGCAAGGGCGGGAGCAGGGAGACCCCACAGGAAACCTATGCTGTTTCATAGAGGAGAAATGATGGTGGCTTGGAGCACTGTGGATCAGGGGAAGTGGGGAGAAGTGGTCAGAATCTGGACCTACTTGAAGATAGAACCTCCAGGTTTGCTGAACTGTTGGATGTGGAGTGTGAGAGAAAGAGAGAAATCAAAGGAGTCTCCAAGGTTTTTGGCGAAGCAAACGGAGGATGGAGGTGGTGCAGCTCAGCTGGGGGAGGCTGTGGGTGGAGGCAGTTTTGGTAGGGGAGATTAGGAATTTGGGATATGTTGAGTTTGAGATGTTCGTTAGACATCTAAATCAAGATGTTGTGTGGATATTTGGATATATAAGACTGAATTCCAGAAAAGCAGTCTGAGCTGGAAATGTAAATATGGGAGTCATCAGTAGATAGTCGGTATTGAAAACCATGAGACTACATCGCTGTGAGCCTTTCTTCCCACAGTGCTTCTGCTAAGTCCGTGAACCAAGCTTTTCCAGGAGACAAATAAGATCTGAGAGAAGATCTCAGACCTCCCTGGTTCATCGCCCCATCTCCTGATGCAGGAACCCTGAAAATGTCCCGCTGCCATCTGCTATTTCTGAGCGTTCTCAGGTGACTCCTCATACCTGCTCACGAATGAGTCCAACCCTCCCCGCCATGTTGCTGTTCCACGGCCATGTCCACCGGCATCTGCCAGGGTGCATTGGCTAGTCCATGGGTACCACTGCTTCCTCTTCCACAGGCCCAGCATCCCAGGCATCACAGCCCTTACTGGTGCTCCTTCTCTGCTCCATGCGGCGTCACCATCCTTGTACCATAGCCATCAGGGGCTCTGAGCCTGACTGGGCCTGGGAACGCACAGTTCCCCTACTCTGTGCTGAGCGCTGCCTATCAGAGATCTCTGCAGCTCTACTAGTTTAGGGCTAGGCTCCTCACACTGGGATAGGAGTTTCCTGATGGTACACAGAAGTGCAGCAGGGAGGACACAATCCTGCAAGACAAGCAGAGTGCATCTTATTGGAGCATCACTTTTCCTCATTGGTATCTAACTAAAAATATTTCTTTAATAGTAAAAGAACAATTATATTGAAGAGTAGGATACAAACCTGGCATACAATTGAAATCAAACCCAAGATACATCCATAATAGTTTTCCTTTGTGACTATGCCACAGATCTCCCCAGGAACCTCCCATTATCTTTCAGTGGATGGTTAATTATAAAATTTTGAACAGTCCTGGGACACTGTCAGCGGTTGGAAGGGGAGTAGGAGAAAGAGACTCAGATAATTTGTTAACTTTTAAGTCCCTTGGTTGGACTGAGTTAAATTAGTCAGGCATCTACCAGAGCCTGGGGTAACCAGAGACAAGATGGCAAAGGAGGTTGGCGAATTACATTTTGGAGAGAAAAACCATGAGTCGGTGTGATGGGGTGGTGGCCTCTTCTCCTTTCTCTCAGTCCCTGTGTCTGAGTTTCTGGAGTCACACAGACCTGGAGCCAAAGTCTGGCTTGACCATGGACACTTGGAGGTTCCAGGATGATGGTTCCCTAATAAGGCAAAGTTGGCACCTCTCAAGGTCAGGAAGGCAGGGGATGCACTGACCTAACCAAGGCAGGGGATGCACTAATCCCACCTCAGAATTTGACGGAGCTGGAAAACTATCTGTCAGATGTGGTACACGATATAAACCATATACGGGAAGTGGAAACAAGAACCACGAAGGAGGAGATGTTGAGGGACTTCTAGGGGGACACGGTTGGAAAGAGAGACCGTGCCTGCCCACTCCAACCAAGCAGCCCAGATGTCCTGCACCGACTCAACGGTCATGTGAGCTAGAAGCAGCAGCTGACTTTCTAGGCCAGTGGTTCCAAATGACAGTGTTGATCAGAACTCTGATACTTATTAAATAAACATCTCCAGGCGCCTCTTCCAGACCTCCTGAATCGGAATCTAAAAGAATCCGGTTTTGTAAGGGCCTCTGGGGGCTTCCAGGTTAAATTCCATCTGACCCCAAGTGACCCATGCTGACCCTGGTTCAGTCCTTGATAAGCACAGAGTATCTGCTCTGTGCCAGGGAATGGGCCGCTTCCTGTGGGAGAGTACAAAACTGTTTACAGCTTGGGCTCTGCCCTCAAATAGCTCAAAGACATGAAAAGAAAAAGACAAATTACAACTTCGTGAGTGAATTCAAGGCAATGAAATCATGGCTCTCATAGGCAATGCTGCTGAGAACCCATGAATGCTACACACTGGAGGGACTATGAGATCATAGGAGGGCTTGTGCCAGTCTCTGTCTTTGACTGGCCAAGAGAATTGCAAAATGCGGCATGGACCTTGCGCAAGGATTCCAACTGGGCCTGGGGGAGTCAGTGCTCGCTGTGTCTGCTGAACTGGGGGCCTAGCAACATCTTCGGGGAGAGCCTGCTGCACGAGGGGATGTGTGTGGGAAGAGGGTTGTACACAGATGTTGGGAGCAGATATGAGGGGCTGCAGAGGAAGCCAGCATGAGCCCTCTCCCTGGCCCAGCCCCTGGCCCATGTCTGAATGCTGCGAAGTGAAGGTGGCAGGAAGACGCTGATGCAGCTGTTTGCACAGGGGCTCAAGCAATGCTGTTTTGGAGCCCAGGTGACAAAGTGGCCTGCAGCGCAGAGGAAGCATGCATTTCTCACCTGCTTGGGGAGAACTCCAGGACATCATGGGGATTGTCCAGGAGCAGTAGGGGAGAATGGATCTTTGACGCCAGGCTGTGGGTGTAATTCCCAACGGAAACCTGGTGGGAGAGAGCCAATGCCTGGTGGTCATGGCCAACCCTTTCAAGTGGCAGCAGGATGGACTTCTGGGAGATCTCATGGGACCCTCCTTGTGGATTCCCAGAAATATACTTCCTGGGAGGAGATGTCTTTGCCGGGAGGGGTCCTGCATCAGCAGGTGAATGCCATGAGCCAGAACAATCTGAGTTTACACTGTTAAGTACTGAGGCCTTTTGTGAACCAACGAACTGATGAAGCCAGGAAAATTGTGTGTCACAAAACGACCAGGACATTTGGAGGGACGATAGGTGGGGTTAGGTGTGAGTAAAGATATCTGTGTGGGGTTGTATTTGTGAGAATGTGAGTTACCAAGGATGGTGGAAACAGCAGTCTTAACCCAGTGATTCCTAGAGAAACATTCTTTGGTTATTTGCGAGGCTGAAAGTCCATATGAAGTAAGAGGTACTTAGTGAAGACCAGAGTGGGTGGCGCACATGTGGAAACCAATGGCCCTAATCATATTGCTTATCCTAGGCACTGGGAAAGGCTGAAGCCTCCTGGGAAAGTGACCACAGACTGACGTCATCTGGAGATGAAGACAGGGGAATCAAGGCCAAGAACCCAGGGACTTCCCTGAGGAGGGCTCCCTAAGAAGGTGGAGCCCACAGCCCGCTAACCTTCCTTCAATGACAGTGGGGGGCCCCTAACGGGCATCCTGGGTGCTCGCTCTGGGACGAGCATGAGGGTAACCCTAGTCAGTGTTCCTACTGCCCAGGCTAAACATCTGCTTCAACCTCACAGTTCATGATTTTGCATACCTTATCATTCATTCCAGAGTCTCCCTCTCGCATCTCAGGTGCTTCCTCCCTCTCCTCGAAGGGAAGGTCCATGTAGCTATTCACCCAGGAGATAGGAAGCAAACTGGGCTTCGGAGAAAAAATTCAATGCCATTACTGATACCATTTCCTCTCCATTCTGCAACTGAGAACACAGTTGGCAGGCAACCTCGCCCCCCAGATCTTGACAGAAGCTGGAGGGCTCTGCGATCTGTGGGTGAGATAATGACACCACCTAATTTGTTCTGAGCTCCCTGCAAGCTGCAGGGAAGAAGCCGGGATTGTAGTTTGCTCTGAAATACAAAAATAAAATAAAAGGTTGTGACAGAGATTTAAATGAGAATAAAATGCCAATTAACTCAGAGGTATTGGACCCGAATCTACGTCTCAGAAGAATCCCAGGTCGCACTTGGTGGATCAGTTTCAATTTCCCCCAAAGCACTGAACGGCCACACTGGGGAAGGAGACCTCAGAACAATCCAGAACTCCGTGCCAGACCCACTACTTATCACTTTAATTGACACTTACTCCATATGATGCTCATACATTCACCGAATGGGTTCAATTTAATTTGAAATGGGGAATTTTTTCTTTCCCCTGTTGAAATATTTAATGCGGTGGGCTTGAAAGCTAAACAGCTTCAGCGCTAGCATCTCATCACTTTTCTATTTTGCTCTAAAGAATACAAAAGACCCCTCCGACCATGATTTATTTTGAAAATATTTTTTTACCAACTCTGTAATTACAAAGCCCGTTGATCTATACTTTTTCTATCAGTGGGGTGATGGGATAGGTGGCAAGAAAACAAAAAAATCCCTCCTTTGCTACCTATTCTGGAGTCCTAAAATTAAATTAACAAGCACAGATCTCTTGGAAAGAAGCCATCTCAGAACGAGCAGGGTGATCAGACCCTCTTCTACCACGGAGCATGTGTGCTTCTGCTCGCAGCCTAACCCCCTTCCGCCACCCCATGCTGTGCTAACCCAGGGAAGGGGGTGCGTGAGCGAAGGAGCCGGCATCTTTGCCGAGGAGAAGGATAGGATGCTCCAGATCCTGGCTGATCACAGCAAAGCAGGTGGGTTCTCCCCCCGCCCTGTGTTTATCAGTGCTGACAGACGGAGTGTGAGAGCATCGTTCACCCCGAGGTGTTACATACTGATACACTGACAGGCAATTATCTTTGGAGATAGTGTTAAAACACAATAATTAATTGGAAGAGCAAGCGAAAGAGTGGTGGCCCCAGGCCGAGGCAGAATGGTGTTTCTAAAAACGCTCTGCGAGGCTGGTAATTTAGCCTCAATGGGTCATTTGATTTCATCACCTCCCCCATCCTGAAACCTTCCAGGAGCTTTGTTTTTCAAAAGCTTTACCCTTGAATGTGTCTCAGGCGTCATTAAAGTGCAGACCAACCTCCCATAGCAACTTTCCAAAATGGTTCCTGGCAATAGAGAAAAATCACTGCCTTAGCAAAGATGTCTCACACAGCCCTGCTTTTGTGACGGTACATGCTGGCAGAGTGTCTTTGTTTCAGACCGAGGCTGACACATGTCTGCTTAAATAAAACATTCTCACTTCAGCTGACTGATTTGGTGGGAACAAGAAGTTCACACGCCGAAGCATGGGCGGACCTTGCTGACCCCCCAGCGGGGGGAAGACGGCATTGTTGTAGCCTTTTACTAACAAGCATTGAGAAGGGTGAGCTTTTCTTTTGCTTGTTTTACCATGGTGACATCCATTGACCTATATTTGATATTCTGCATAATATACATGTGTCAGCGATCACACATTTGATTGAGAAGGGAGAAAGAGGACAAGGAAGAGAAGGATGGAGGAAGCATTTTACAGTGTAGCAAGAATGACTGTAGTTTAGAGGGTTCTCTGGTTGCCAGGGGCAGGAACCATCTGGATGTAACTGAACAGGAGAAAGGGCAGATTTATTTTTAGGACAAAGGATGTCTAACAGAATCCAAAGAAAAGCAGGTTTCCTGACCTTGGGAACAGGTCAGAGCAAGAAGCCATTTGCTCTCCCTCCATCTCTCATCCCCAATAAGGGCTTCGTTTTCCTCTTGCTGTTCAAACTGGACACCCTTCCTCTCTGGTCCACCTGGCCATGGACAACCCCAGGCCCAGGAACCAGGCCACATGTTGAAGGCATGACCTCATGCAGAGTGTCTCACTCACGCCGTCTCATGGATGAAATTCCCTAGTCCTGGACAAGGGTTTTGATTGGTCTAGCTGAAGTTAGGTGCCCATCCCTTGTCTAAGTAACTTCATCTCCAAAAACCCTATCAGAAGCTGGAGGTCTGGCCACTCATGGGTGAGATTATACAACATCACCTGATTTGCTAAAGAGAAGTTACTGGAATCGTAAAAATAAGAATAAAATACAATAAAATAGAAGGGTGTGGTTTACTCTAGAGAGTAAGTCACTTTGAGCAAAATGGATGTGCATATGTCAGGGCAGTTAGAGGCTCAGTGTAAGCAGGGAAGATATCCAAATAGTGGTACGACAAAGATAATAATTTATTTTTTAACTAAAATCTCAGGGGAGACTTGGTTCCAATTGTGCTGAGTTGTTTAGAGAAAGCTTAAAGACAGAAGTCAGAATTCAGTGGTTGTTTGCAACCTGCCCTAGACTGTGCTGTCCTTTTCTTTGTTCCCAGGAGAGGCATTTTACGGTTCTCTGAAATCCTCCCCTTTCCTTTTCTGGACAATCTATATAACCCTTAGGTGTACAAGGTTTAAAAGAGCTCAACGCTTTTACCTTTCTTTTATTGGCTATGAAGGAATTATTTAATTAGGGTATTGTAGAAGTCAACTCTCTGAGTTACGTGTGATAGAAACCAACTCCAACTGGCTTTAAAAAATAAAAGGGGGGGAGGCCGGCCCCCGTGGCCAAATGGTTAAGTTTGCGCACTCTGCTTCGGTGGCCCAGGGTTTCGCTGGTTTGGATCCTGGGCGAGGACATGGCACCGCTCGTCAGGCCATGCTGAGGCAGCGTCCCACATGCCACAACTAGAAGGACCCACAACTATAATATACAACTATGTACTGGGGGGATTTGGGGGAAAGCAGAAAACAAAAAAAAAGAAGATTGGCAAGTTGTTAGCTCAGGTGCCAATCTTTAAAAAATAATAAATAAATAAATAAGAGGGGATATGTCATGACGCGTTGTCACTGGGAAGTGCTTTGGAGGGCCAGAGCAGGTCTTGCTGCATCCACAGGAAAGCAAGAGTCTTGATAAGAGCTCTCTCTTACCCTCTTTCTTCTCTCAGCTGATTCCCTCTGTGTGTTGGCTCCATTTACTCCTGCTGAGATTTATCTTCTTCCCTGCCATCAAGTACCATGACTGCTGGCAGCCCCAACTTCACATCTCCCAGGCACCAAGACTCAGGCAAAAAGCAGCTCCAGCAGATAAATCCTTGCAAGACTCTGATTGGCCTAGCTTGGGTCATGTGCAAATCCCTGAACCAATCACTGCAGAGTCTAGCTCCATGGAGTGGGAGGATCCAGGGCACCATATTATGGCACCTCCTAGACCACATGAGGTGGGAAAGGGCTAGTTCCCCCAAAAGAAGGGCTGTATGTGCACAAACAATATCTGACCACCATGGGTATTTATCTTGTATATTAAAGTTGGACACTGAAGAAGCTCATATAGGGCCAATAAATAGCTTGGTGCCAAGATGCTAGGACTCCAAGGATCCATCTGGCAATGCTTCTAGTGCTCATGGGCTCTTGGCATCCTGGCACAAGATGCTAAGAGCTGAGAAGCACGTGGGATTACAAATAGATCTTCTGATAATAAACCTCCAAGGTTAAGGTTAGTGTTACCTTTCCAGGCTCTTTCCTCTGATCTCTCCTGAAAATATCCTTACCTTTTGATTTGAGGTATGGGTTGTTATGATGATGGCAAAAGGAAAGAAGGGGACTGTTAGGGAGCTGTGAGGGGAAACGTTTCAATGGGGAAGATTATTTTGTTTGCTTGTTTTTGTTTTTTTCTTAAATTTTTATTTTGAGATGATTGTAGATTCACATGCCATTGTAAGAAACAATACGGAGAGATCTTCATACCCTTCACCCAGTTTCCCCAAAGGTAACATCCTGCATGACTATAGCATGGTATCACCACCAGGAAATTGAGACTGATGCAGCCCATGGGTCTTATTCAGATGTCACCAGTTTTACATGCGCTCATTCAAAGACTGGGTTTTAATCTGTCTACAATTTTCTCAAAAATTACTTCTTTGAGCTGGGCTTGATGCTGATGCTCATTATGAGAGCAATCAAGTTTCCACATCCAGATGTTTTCTTGTAATTCTCGGATCCAATAAGATCACACCTTGAAGGGAGAGTGGAGATGGTCTGTATGTCTGAACGTAAAGCGGCTGCTGATTTCTGTAAATACAGAAAGTTTTGGATTCCCAGCTGGGGAACTTGGGATGTATCCAGTAGGCCCTGGAGACACATGGGCAGTATTTTGCGCTTTGCTGCAGAGTCTCGGGTAGCTTGGGAGGGAGGGAGGCTGGAGGAAGGGAGACACCTAGCAAGCTAAAGCAATCCTTACAATGAGAGATAGCAAAGGGCTGAGGCAAAGCTGTGGAAATCTAGAGAAGGAGACACACTGAGGGGTGTGGAAGAGTTGGAGAATGAGCAGGCCTCTGCACTTGGTTGTGCGTGTGTGTGTACATATCCACTAATGGCCTTTGTCTGTTCCAGGACACAATCCAGGATCCCATACTGCAGGTAGATGAGCTTTATTTTTGAGTCCTTCATTTTGAGGAACTGATAGAACATCCAAGTGAAATCGGCTCTTCCAAGCGTGGCTGATCTTCTCTTGGGTTTGGCTAAGTTTGGCAGAAGGTAAGGGTGAGTTGGAAAGAATCAACCTGCCAAAGTTTTCATTTTGATTTCACAAATTTTTCTAGATGTTACTTCTCTTCAGCTATCCAGGGATTTTTAGGGAAACCTGCGTGAACTCAGGGGAGGCATCACGTGCTTCTCCAGGTCCCTCTCCACCTGCTGAGGGGCAGAATAGGAGGAGGCTCAGAGCAGCGACATTGTGGCTGAGGACACACGGCTGGCAAGGGCTGCGGTGGGATCCCACCCAGGTCTGCAGGTCTCCAAGCTCTGCTCCCGTCACAGGGGGAACACGCTCCCGCCCTGCTTATCCTCCCTACTGATCAATGTGGTTGTTCTGGGCGAGAACCGTGATTGTCTCTGGATCCCCACATGTGCCTGCCCGGTGGCTGACATAAAGAAGCTGCTCCTTACAAAGTTGTGGAAGGAAGGAAGGGGAGGAGGAGAAGAAGATAGTCCGAATCCATATCTCAAATCATAAGCATTAGGGACTAGATTAATTGCTTGAGTTAGGATTTA